AGGGCTTCAGCCAAACTAGGCAAACAGGAGAAGGTGATGGACTCACGCATACCGGTCCTGAAGACCAGGGCTAATATTCCCAGCTCGTACAGATTACCCATGTCGCCACAGTCCTACAGTGAAGCTGTGCAAAGTCAGCCAAGTGGATGTGGCTCCACCCCTGTTAACACGACTAGGTTAACAGATCCGAGTGGGAAAATTGCACTAAGTGAGAACTTCATAACACCCATCCCCATGGTAGACCATGAAACAAATAGGAAGGCCAAAAAGAAACGTTCACGACGTCGCAAGACGACAAGAACGCTCCCCAAGAAGACAGACGACTGCAAGGTCTGTGCTTCTGTTGTCGAACAAGCAGACTCTGCCTTCGAATGTAACTTTTGCAACCGATGGGTGCATTGCAGATGCGACAGTGGGGTACCAAAAGCATATTATGACTTTATGCGTAAAAACCCATGCCAATGGTTCTGGTACATATGCCCGAGTTGCCGTCCTGATGTAGCCTCGCGTAGTCCTTTGAAAACTAAAGATGGCACAGAAGTAGCGGGGAAAAAGGTGAAAAGCTCGACCCCCACCAATCCGGAAGTTAGTACAAACGCGCGTAAACCGGGGATACCAAAATCCTCACCGGTTAAACTTGTAACTCTTGCCATAACCGCTCCAGACACAGAGGCTGGAGAACCACGGGTTTCCGTCGTTGGAAAAAGACCCCAACCGTCTACCAGTAATGCTGGCTATAGCACTGAGACACATAAAAATACCCAGTCGCACCAGTCAAACCAAAACGGTCTTAAAGGTGATCACAAACGTGCGAGGACCGAGCCCAAGCCCACGGTTAGCAGATCAAATTGTGTAATCCTCTTTAATGTACCAGACTGTAGCAGTAGTCTGCTGAAAGATAGGGCCCTATTTGATCAGGAACAGTGGTCCATCTTAAGTAGCACACTGGGTTTGGACATCCAACCAGTAAATCTATGCAGATTGTATAGGGGCACTGCTGCACCTGAAGGCAAACCATCCCCACTGAGGGTAACATTGAGCTCTACCGAGGATGTTGAAAAAGTGTTACTGGCTTCTCAAGTCCTTTCTATAGGGAGGGCCTGTAACATACGTGTTAAGCCAGACAGGCCGTGGAAGGAAAGACAAATGGCGAGGGAGTCGCCAGAGCTCATTCCTTCTGCCTCCATGGTTGTGCATGGCATTCCCGAACTGGTAACTGGGAACGCCTGCGAAAAGCATTGTCATGATGTACAACAATGGAGATGGTTAGCATCCCAGATGGCCCTGGGAAGTTCAGGGGCTGTCTCTATTTATAGACTGCCTCGACCCACTCATCTTATGTCAATTAACTCGCCACGTCTGTTAGCTGTCAAGTTCAGCTCCCAAGACCAGTTGACTACCGCTCTCCATAGATGGTACGAGACCAAGGACAAGGTCAGCAAACACATTCGCTGCTGCGAGAGCCGGCCTCGCACTCAAAGGAGAGAACAAAGCGTAGTAAAAGAAAATCCTCAACCCCTAGTCACACTACAGCGGTGCAGCACGGACGATGATAGCCAGTGTCATCCGAGTGCTCCAACTGAACTAGAAGAAAAAAACGCCAACAGGCCGGTTCCTGGGGAATCGGCCAACTAGTTCGTAGGATAACTCCTCAACCGATAGCCAATATCAAGTCAACTACCCCCCAATACGGGGAAGTGGTGAGACTGACTACCAGTTGCCTGTATAGTAATGTGAGAGGGCTAAGAGGCAAAATAGCTGAACTTAGACACCTACAATCACAACTAAACTCCAAAATCATAATACTGACGGAAACCTGGCTAACCCCTACGGTGGCAGACAGCGAAGTCAGTATAAATGATATGGTCCTAGTCAGGCGAGATAGGGACCTGAAAGAAGGAGGTGGAGTCGCCATATACGTCGACAAACAGCTCAGATGTGTTCACGCGACGGACCCTCCCCTCACAGAGCTCCCTGACTCCATATGGTGCCACTTCACCGTTGGGTACTGCAAATATCTAGTGGGCAGCATTTATCGATCACCTTCATGTGGAGCAGACCATAACCAGGTACTGCTAAATACAATTTCAGCGACTCAAGACATGGGTTATGATCAAATTGTCATAGCTGGTGACTTCAATGCCCCATCTCTTAACTTGGTGTCGGGAAAAGCCCATGATAGATTTGATCGAAATCTGCTGCATACCATCAGGAAGGCTGGATTCACTGAAAATGTCAAGATGGATACTAGATGGGGCCCTGATGGGAAGTCTTCTAGACTGGATTACGTGCTCACTAGTGACCAGCTACTAGTGGAAAACGTTCAGATCACGACTCCCATAGGTAGTAGTGACCACGCGGTCATAGTATTCGACATAGTCCTCCGCGAGCGCTTACAGTGGGACAATACACAGCCCTATCTGTGTTATAACAAAGCCAACTTTACCAAAATGCGAAGACTTCTGTCTGAAGCAAACTGGCCTAAAAAATGGACAGAGCTAACAGTAGAAGAACACTGGAGAGTGGTAAAGGAGATCATTCACCAGGCGGTCTCAGACACTGTTCCTTTAGTCTCACCAAAAGCTAGGAAGCAACGATCATGGCTGAAAAGAGGGACACAACGCCTTCTGCAGGCAAAGCGTAAAGCCTGGTTCGCGTGGCGACGATCGAAGAGTCAACCCGAATATGAAGTGTACCTTGAACTCAGGAATCGATGTAACATACGAGTCCGGAGCGATAGAAGGACATTTCAGGGAGACCTCGCCAATAAGCTTCTCGTGAACCCCAAAAGCCTATACAGGTTTATGGCCGAAAGAAAACCGACCAACCAGGGAGCATGCAATCTAGTGGGTTCTGATGGGAAATCTCTTACTAGTCTTGAAATGGCAGAGACATTCAGCCTAGCCTTTCACAGGCAACTAAATAGTAACGAGGATATTACCCCTACAGAACATCCAGATTACATCGCAGAACCAACACACGAAAACCTGCTGGGGACATTTCAAATTACCCCGGCTATGGTACTTGCAAAATTGGGAAGGTTGGCTTCGGGAAAGTCTCCAGGTTGTGATGGCATCAGACCATCTGTCCTGAAGCAGTGTTCAGAAAGTCTCTGTCAACCCCTAAGTGATCTGTTCCAACACTCCCTTGATGTAGGGAAACTTCCATGTGAATGGAAACGTGCAATCCTATCCCCTATCTTCAAGGGTGGTGACCGGCAGAATGTGACCAGTTACAGACCAGTTGCTCTACTTCCAGTGGTATCGAAGATATTGGAAAGTCTCATTGACGACCACATGAGAAAATACTTCGATGGGACTAACCTTCTTCACGAAGCACAGCACGGTTTCAGGAGGGGAAGATCCTGCGTGACGAATCTTCTACTAGCCTGGAACGATTGGACACTATCCTGGGACAAAAAGGTACCAGCCCACGTGATCTTTCTCGACTTTGCGAAAGCATTCGACACAGTTCACCATGGTCTGCTCCTTCACAAAATAGGCAAGGCGGGAGTTTCTGGAGCACTTCTCGCATGGCTGACAGATTACTTAGGCGAGAGAGAATTCTGCACCAAAGTCAACCGCATCCGATCATCCTGGCACACCTCGGCATCAGGGGTTCCTCAGGGTTCTATCCTAGGGCCGTTGATGTTTTTGATTTTTATCAATGACCTGCCCTCCCAACTAAACTGCTCTGCGCTTCTTTACGCTGACGACGTAAAGATTTGGAGAGCAATAAACTCATCGGAAGACTCAGATAGATTGCAGGCTGACCTGCAAACTCTGGGAAATTGGGCTTTGGCTAACGGAATGCCTTTCAATCTAAAGAAGTGCAAAGTAGTGCAGCTTCATTCCGGCAGGTCACAGAGTGTAAATTACACCCTTGGTGGCCAGAACTTGAGTTGTGTTCCATCAGAGCGTGATCTAGGTCTTATTCTAACAGAAAAGCTAGACACCAGTGGAAATTACTCGAGGGACGTCGCCAAAGCCTACGCAACATTACACTTTATGCACAGGCAGCTGGGAGCTCTCACTCCCGAACTGTTCTTAAGGCTATACAAGGCATATGTGAGGCCACACCTTGAGGTGCATAATATCATTGCACCTCCGCTACTCAAAAGGGATGCTAACATTCTAGAAAGTGTCCAGAGACGAGCGACAAAATGGGTGATCGGCCTCCGCAACAAATCATATGAGGAAAGACTAAAGAAATTAGGTCTTTTCACACTCAGTTACCGTAGGCACAGGGGAGACCTCATCACCGTCTACAAGATCCTAAATGACCAGGCCCACCCAAATAAAAGCATCCTGCCATTAAGCGATTATAGGCTTCCACGAGGTAACCCGCTAAGGATAGCACACCAGAGACCAAAGACTCGAGTGCGATCACATTTCTTTTCGCTTCGTGTTTGCCGTCTCTGGAACGCTTTACCGGCGGCCGTGACTACAGCGCCATCTGTGGAGATTTTTAAGCGGAAGCTAGACAATCATGCAGAAATGCAAGGTTTGTGTCTCAATGGCTTATCCTCATAAAATTTGAAACCAAACTGTCAATGAATAAGCGTACTAACTAAATCCCCACGACCTATTCTGCCTTCTCTCACTCTATCTTTTCCTTAGGTCACCTTTATTATTCCACTTATCTCAACCTATATTATCTACACTACAACCTATTATTATTATTATTACTATTCTGCTTTTATGACTACACCGAATGACCAAGGGGAGTTAGGTCAAACTCCATTCACGGCAGCAATACAGTCCTAACATACTGCATACTACAAACCACATCTCGACCAATCCCCGCACCACTCCTCCTGGAGTCTACCAGAGCTAAAGCAGTCGAGTGTCGGGACTTACTACGCAGAAGCTCACCGAAGATCTGGAACCTCTACCTCACAATCAAGAAGCGAGCTCAAAGAAATCACTGGTTTATACTAGCTCGTCATCAGGATATTGGATATTGGAACTACCTTTTACGTATCACTGGGAGGAAAGTATCGAAAATTTTAAAGATTCACCTAACCTTATAACAAATATGTTAAGCATTGTTAATTGAGTAAGGATTTTAGCTTTTTAGTTTGTTGGCGTGAAGGTCACAGCATCGTCACTTGAATGAACCAAATTTCAAGGCGGTTCACACATCAGCAAGGTTCGTGGGGTACGGTATCACTTCATATCGTGCATATAGATTCTTTCCAAACAGCAAAACCCACTCTGAATTCTCGTTCTACCAATGACAGTTCAGCGAAGAGTGAATAACTGCGGACAAAATGGCATTCAGGTCAAATCAGACCTAATAACTATACAAAAGCTAGAACGTGACCAGCTCCTATTTTGGAGATCGCCTTTTCTTACCTTGTACTACTTCTTCATGGAATGTGTATTTAGATTTGCACAGCTTCGTTTTGCTGTATATAGAAACAAAAACAAATGTGTCGTAGCTGCTTTTATAGTCTTTGTCTTGGTTTTTCTTGATTATTCAGATGGCCCTCATTCTAAAGTAAGCTACCTTTGGTTCAGTAATTGGCAGGTATTTGATCACATTAAGTCTACCGCTTTATGGTGGTCATGGTGGGTTTGGCTAGGATTCCTATCTTCATGTGGGTTCGGTACCGGGTTACATACTTTTGTGTTGTATCTAGTAATTTGTCTAGAACGCCCTAACAATATTTGCAGGGTCCGTTTATAGCTGAAGTTACAATGAGTGCTTATGAATGTGGAACACTCAATTTTCCTCGTCCACCATATCCTGATAGGATTATTTGTCCAGATAACCCTGATTTAGGGGAAAGCATCAATTTTTGGAAAGTCATGCGCAAAGTCCAGATGGAGTCTATCATGTTGGTAGGTTCACTTTTTTGTATTTTAATCTAATCATAGTATTTGTAAATATTTATGTGTTTTGTCACGCTGTTTGGATGTATCTCGTATTAGATCTGTTCATTTCCTTAAAATCATAGTACCTAATATTAGGTTTGTAATGGCTAAATAACTAATTCATCCTCAAAGATTTCTACGTAGCCCTGCATTATTGGTCTCTATATTTTGTGATGTAAGGGTTGTGTTAGATTGTAAATATGGCGGAAATGAACGTTATTTCATCAGTGACATAGAAACCTGTTTTGTTAATCTCTCTCTATAAGTCCTACTCACCCCTCGAACGTATTTGAGATCGCATCCGTCCATCATCAAAGAGTGTGATCATTGTATGGATTTTTATCGAGTATGAATCGATAAAGGGTCTTGAAACACTAAATGTTGCTATCAATGGTCTTATTCTCTCGCATCTGTAATTATAAAAAAACTAGTTGGAAGGATGCAGTACTGTTCCTTTTTCAGGTTGTATGTGTTCTTCAGTCTTCGTGCGTCACGGGCAAATGGTAGTAGGGTTGAGATTGTCCATGTTACTATTCGTCGTACAAATTTTTGTGATCGCTCACTGAGTGAGCAGGTGCCACTAGTTCTAGACATGATTGTCGGTCATAAAGCTCATATTAGATTATGAATTTGGCCCTTAGCTCATATGATATGGCAACTTGAACTGCCACACTTCTGTGCAGAGTTCTATATTGGAACTCGCTATTTAGTCATAGGAGCTAGTCATTGAGTCCCAGTTAACTTATCGAGCACTCAAGTCGTTCACTGTTAAAAGCATCCCTAGTGGCTCACACACAGGTGTTTTGATACAAAGTCATCAGCTTGGCCGGTGAGACTGCAATATATAATTTCGATCGTTGTAATGGCTGTATTTGGCCTGTTCTTGCAATATCCATTTCCCCAGGTATCAGTAGTGTGAGATTAATTCCATTTGATAGTCATGTTTCAATAATGATCATTGCATCTGACTGCAGTTCAGAAAATTTATTTATTCTGCAGACATTCATATAAGGCAGCTCGCGTTTGTATTCATTAGACGTAGGTCTCAGTAACAGTTTTTTTGAGACATCAACTCCTGGAGATCCACTATATTCAAGTTTATTTTCATCATAGCCACTGATTCTCTCACCTGTAATTGTGATGCATCATTGCCTGAGTAATTGTGAGGTTTGGTGGCGTGTTTGAATACAGCGGAGATCACCACTCATTGAGTGTCGTCATCTGGAAACACCGGCTTCGGTGGCTTGGACATGTGCTACGAATGTCATCCCAGAGGCTTCCGTACAGGTCTCTGTTCGCTAGCTCAGGGACGGGATGGAGAAGGCGGAGAGGTGGTCAGTCCATGACGTGGCGTCGTGAGATGAAGGATATTTGTGCTAGGTTAGCATCGGTTGGTGCGTCACGACTCCCTGGTTGGGGTCCGCGAGATAGCTCTAATCAATGCCTCGAAACGTTATCGGATATGGCCAAGAATCATAATCAATGGCGAACGTGTTGCAATTTCCTCCTTTCTTCCCTTCCGATGATAGTTAACGAATACTGTTTGAACTTGTTACACATGACTGTTTTCCTTCCAGATGAAGTTCTTTATCCGTTCTCTAATTATATTTTTACGTTTGATCTTTGTTTTATTATTATTTTGTGGCGCATCTTTCTTGGTGCCATATTATACCAAGTTTTTCTGCGTTTAAATAAAATAATAACAAAGTACATAAGTATGCGTTGGTTTTTTTTCGCCTAAGCAGGTCACATTCAGCTACCAGCCTCCTTTAGAGCTTTGCCTACCACTCTCACATTATAAGTATGATTCAGTAAAAGTGTAGAATGTAAAGCAAATATCTAAAACTTTTTACCAGCCTTATAGATGTAGTCCTTATCTTTAGTTATTCAGAGAGCTAATGTTTAGTTTTTTAAACTTCTACAGCGACTTCACCTTTCTCAACCTACATCAACCAGAAGTATGACCTCACTATGAAACCTGTGTCTTAATGAAAGTCGGCTACGCTGGGATAGCATTTGCACTCTCTTGTAAATCAGTAACTCAAATCAGTCAGTGCTACAATTAGTTTTCCTCGGAAAAGATAACTAGTGCAAAGTCTTGACTACGACACCAGTATGGCAGTTGCTGGTCCAAAACAGTTTACTTCTCTGATTAGCGCCCCTCACCTACGAAAAGATATTGTTTCGAATTAACCCAAGCACTGTAAACCCTAGTCTATAGTCCCACCAACGTTGTTTCTCCTCATTTTTTCTTTTTAAGCTTTTCTCTGTTTTAATGCCATTTGCTGTATGCTTTGTCTGTCTCTGTCTGTCTGGATTCAACATAGAACTTGGCACCGAAGTGCAGCAGTTCGAGTTGCCACGTTCCGAATAGCACACAGAGGTAGACAAGAAGATGAGCGAAGAGAATCAATAGAGTTTGACAGGTATAAGAGTGAAACTTAATGGGTAATAGTAGAGAGAAATATGAAAGATTACAGAGACTGAATACATCTGCGCCATTGACAACGATTTTGAGCCATGTCATCTATTGTCTCCAGCCATTGATTCCTAGAGTCCCGAGGGCCCCAACCCGGAAGTCTGCATCTCCCTACCTGACTCAGTTTAACAGTCAAGGATTTCATGGATTGATTGCCATGCTTTTGTTTGGCCACCACTTACACTTTTCCAACCTGCACCTATATCAGCTAGTAATGCCCATCGGGGGAGGCGATGGTTAGGCATGCGCAGCACGTGACCCAGCCATCTCAATCTATGTAACTTTGTAGCCTCGTCGATTGATTTTCCCTCTTTGCCCAACACTCTGCGTCTAACGTCAACATTACTTACCTTATTAAACCACCTAACGTGAGAGAGAGATCGCAGACATCTATGATCGAAAGCGGTCAACCTTTTCATGTCTTCAACTCGTATTGGCCATGTTTCAGAGCCATAGAGAAGGACGGAGCGAACTGCTGAGCAGTACACACGTCCCTTGGTTGATAGCCGGATGTCACACCTACGCCAGAGATGGTGTAAGTCAGCGAAAGCAGCTCGAGCTTTTTGGATCCTTGCTGAGATTTCGTCGCCAATCAGTCCGTTGATACTGATACAACTTCCCAAATAGGTGAAGTGGTCAACATGTTCTATCACTTCACTTCCTGTCACTAAGCTAGGAGTTGACGTAGTCCAGTCCTGTAGCAGTATCTTACATTTCGCAATGGCGAATCGTATGTCAAACATACGAAGATTGCTGCTCAAGGTGTTCAGAAGACTCTGCATTTTGTCAGAATCCTTCCCTAACAGGACTATGTCATCTGCATATTCTAAGTCCATAAGACTGTTCCCTGGTAACAAGTCGATTCCTAAGTCGTTACGTTCAGTTAAGTATGCTTCCATTAGCATATCTATGATGAAGTTAAACAGAAATGGGGAAAGTGGACATCCCTGTCGGACACCACTGGTTGTTACCAATTCAGATGACAATTCCCCATAAGCCCTTACACGACTACGTGAGTTTGAATAGAGTGCCTTGATTAGTGCAATGTACTTTCTTGGCACTGTCTTCACAGTCAGACATTGCCATAGTACCTTTCGATCCACGGAGTCGAAGGCCACTTTCAAGTCAAGCAATATGGCAATTGTTGGACGCCGAAAAGTGTGTCTATGTTCTAGAATCTGTCGAAGAGTGAAGATATGATCTATGCACCCTCTACCTGGTCTAAAGCCTGCTTGATTTTCCCTCGTTTGTTCCTCTCGAGTTCTGCTTAGTCTACCCCAGTCTGATGGAACTGTCTCTGATTCCCAGACTTTGCCTAGTACCTCAGTTAACCTACAAACTAGTATGTCACCCCCATATTTAAACACTGGAATAATTCCGTAGGGTCCTGCCGCTTGGCCTCGTTTCGAATTACTGATAGCTTTTGTGACTTCACTTACAGACGGTGGACCAATGTCTATATCCCATTAGGGTGTGTGCTGGATGTCGGGGAGGTTCTGTGTGGCTGTAGGCAAGTTAAATCGTCCCTCAAAGTGTTCTTTCCGGCGTTCAAGGCGTCTATCCTGAGAGCTAATTATTGTGCCATTTTTCTCCGAGATTGTTTCACTTATGATTTGCCTTCTCCCTCCCGTTTCCCTGATGAGTCTAAAGAGTTGCCTGGTGTTGCCTATCGCCAATGCTTTTTCCATCTCTTTCGCCTTTTTCACCCACCAGTGTTCACGGTCTTTGCGGAGACTTTTCGTAAGTTTCCTTTTGTGCAGCTTTCGCTCCTCATTGAATTCGGAGCTCGCCCGAATAAGTCTTCTAGCATCTATCACTTCGGATGAGGCGGTCGAAATCCAATGGTTTTTACTCACTATAAATTATTTAAATTAATCCCAGCGTGTTAAGAAAATCAAATCGGATATAATCCGAATAAATCTGCTGAAAATCTGTGGCTTACACGGCGAAACGTTCAGAAAAATCTTGTTTTGATTTTCTTAACACGCTGGGATTAATTTAAATAATTTATAATGAATCAATCTGACTCGGCGCTCAAATTATTCCAGGAAATTCGTAACAATTACGGTCTGGAAACCTATAATCTGGTTTTTACTCACCTTTGGATTTACCTTATTCACAGCTGTATCTACGGCTGCCTGAATATTCTTCCAAGCTTCTTCAGGGTGAGCACAGCTGTCGAACACATATGTGTTTAGCTAGTTCTTCCTCAAATACGGATTTCGTTTCCTGATCGAGCTGGGGACGTGATGGTTTTACCGCCAGCTGTTTCCTACGTCCGTTCAGTCGTAAGCACACACGAGCGCGGACCAGTGCGTGATCGGTATCTACACACGTGTTCCAGAAGGAGCGACAATCTCCTACCGACCCACGCCAACGATAGCTTATTGCTATGTGGTCTATTTGTGTCCAGCATTGGTTTGATGAAGGGGGTCTCCAAGTCAAACAGTGTCTCTCCTTGTGTTTGAAGTTAGTGCTTACAAGAAACAAATGATTATCTGAACAGAACTGTAGGAGACGGTCACCGTTGTCGGTTCGCTGGCACGGGACTCCATAAGTGCCACCAACATTTTTCTCAGATTGACACAATTTCCCTACTTGAGCATTAAAGTCACCAGCTAGAACGACTATATCTGAGCGTTTAGCCTTTCGCAGCAAATTAGACAGCCTTTGGTAGAACTCATCCTTCGTTTCATCCGAACTGCAGTCAGTGGGGGCGTAGGCGGAGATTACTAAAAGGCATCGGCGAGTGGTGCAGTCCTTTCTCCTTTTTACTGATCCGTTCAGACGGACAGCACACATTCGGCTATCTACCGGGATCCAGTCAAGTAATATCTTTTCTGCCCTAGTACTCAGAGCTATCCCTACGCCAGCTAATCCTCGTGAACTAGCTGTGGCATCTCCTGACAACCTTAAGGTGAATTTTGCAGATTCATCCTGTTGGCCAGGTGGGGTTAGGTGAATAACCACACTTGGGTCTTGTATGTATGTTTCTGAAACACAACATACATCAATGGCTTGGGACGCCAGAGTCTTGGCTAGTGATGCTTGTTGTCCTGTTTGGCAAAGTGTGCTAACATTAAATGTTCCTGTATGAAATTGGTGGCGTGGCTTTAGGAGACCATCGGTGGTGGTTTTTTGGCTTCCGTCGTTTTTAGTGGACACAGAGTGAAGAGGAAGTGAAGAGCTGTCAAGCAGAGGAGTTGCATCAGTTTTTGGAAGGCAAGATGATAGAGATGAAGATGAAGACAAAGATTAGTGAGGATTAGAGAGGTTTTGTATGCATTTCGGATTGTGAGGGCGTTTGTTACTTCCCGGCTGCCCACACCGTGGAAGTTGGTTGCGTGACCGCAGAGCCCATGGGACAACTGCTTGAGGCTGGTCACATGCGGCCTGTTTTTGTTTGTTCTTTATTGTGTGATGTGTCTCAGTAGCATATTTATCATTTCTGCCCTGTGACACGGCAGCAGGAAGCGCGGTCGTTGTTAATCCGGGCCACGGCCGATCCGGCATGATATTTCGTGAATGTGTTTGAATCATGGTATTATATGGAGTAGCTGGTTTTTGTTTAACCGCTATCCAAACAACCTTTTGGCATGGTAGGACGTCAAGAGACATAAGTTTCAGCCAGTATAGCTTGATTAGGTCATTGCGGTGTTCAGGCCTGACCACCACGTCAAGGAAGCAGCTTTCGGTCGGGTGTATGCTTTATACTGCTCAGATGTCGGTGAAATTAGAAATTACATAAATAAACTGTCCAGTTCTCGGAACTCTGATAAGTGAATTCATGTTACGTTCATTGCTTTACTGCAACTTGACAAAGTATTGTTCTTTGGAATTATGATGACCTGATGACTTGTGTCCATTCAGTTGGAATTGTGCTGTAGAATTAAATTCCGTATCTTTATTAACTGTGAGAGCGGTTCTCGCTACATTAATTTAGCCGAGCGGATTTTCTAAATTAAATTATTCGGGCCCTTATTTTTACTGAAAATTGAGGAAATTTGTCAAATATGTGGGGCATTCACTCCTTAAATCTTCCTTTTACTATATTAATTTTGTACCTTATGTTTGTATTTTTAACTTATAGTATATTTTGTAATTGATACATTTTTCAAGGGTTTTGGTACTGCACTGGGTGAACTGCCTCCATACTTCATGGCTCGAGGTGCTAGACTTTCCGGTGAATATGATGATGAGTTTTCTAAGTTGGAAGAAGTCATCTCATCCAATCAAAATACTCAAAGTACAACAGACCAACCGATTACTTTTCAAAGGAGAGCTGAACTATTCCTACATCATTTAATACTTAGAGCTGGTTTTATCGGGATTTTGCTTTGTGCCTCGGTAAGTTATTTTGCTTAGCTGTTTTACAGTGTTCACTTTCAAAATTTTCTTATGATTTCAGTAGCTCTTCGTGCAGGTTAGTTTACTTTGCAGGTTAGCGTGTCGCTTGTGGTTACCGCGTGACAGCAAGAAAGCCAGTGACATTTATTCGTATAGGTATCAACGCTGTCTACTATTGTTTCGTTTGGTGTACCACATTCGAAATTGAATATACAATTGTGGAAGTAAACTTACTACTACGTGACTATAAACTACAGTTTTAACTGAAAGTAGTGTTCAAACATGTTACTGCTTTTCAATAAAAACCTCTGGGGGATGGTAACAGTATAAAATGATTATTAAATATGCTATTCTGAACTTCATTCATTCAATTTAAAATTGAGGTGGCAGAACAAGGCTTATCACTGATGACTACGATATCATCTACATACCTTCTATAAAGTGGCACATTTTCGATTAAATCTTCCGATAAATTCTCAATGTACGACATATAAATATCTGTGAAAAGGGGCCCTAACGGACTACCCATAGCAACACCATCAACTTGGCGGAAACAGTCTCCTTCAAATGTAAACCTAACAATGTTAGTACATAGAAGTAATAAATCCTTTAAGTAAGATATATGGAACGGGATGAAAAAATTGTTTGTGGAAATATAATCACACAAAATGTCAACTGTTTTGATCAAAGGCACATTAGTAAATAACGAGTTTACATCAAAAGAGTACATATTCTTGTTCATAATATTAATATTACTATCATCAAGAACATCAACCAATTCAAGTGTGTCTTTTAACACATACTTACAGAATTGTGTTTTGACTGGATTCAATAATCCCACTAACCATTTAGCAAGTTTATGCGTTGGGGATTTGCACATTGACAATATAGGACGTAGAGGATTATTGGGTTTATGTATTTTTGGCAACCCATACATATGTGGGAATTTACAATCTGATGGTTTTAATGGGTCAAGCTTATCTTTAATTATAGCATTTAGGCCATGAAGCTTCAGTAGATTAGCTGTCACTGTGCCCTGCAACGACTGAATATCTTCTGAGGAGGTATCATGGCTAATTTTGCTCTTATCATCAAGAATAGACATCATTTTAGATTTGTAGTCACTTTTATTCATAATGACGACTCCAGAACCTTTATCAGGTTTAGTAATAATTATATTAGAATTTTCCCGTAACTCTTTCAAGACTGTGAAATGCTGAGAAGGCGAATGTTTCCGCCAAGTTGATGGTGTTGTTATCGGCAGTCCGTTAGGGCCCCTTTTAGCAGATATTTATATGTCGTACATTGAGAATTTATCGGAAGATTATTAAATATGTTAACTGGAGCGTTCGTCATTTCGTATTACTTAAGGGAGTATAAGTAGGAAGACATCTGCAGATGACTAGACGCCGGCTATGATTGTGACCCACATCTCATGGCATCTTGCGCAGTTGACCCAATTGATCTTTCGAACCCCAATCAGGTTGTTGTAGTTCACCAACAGTTGCCGACTAGATACGACTGTATTTCATCTGATGATGCCTTGTCATATAGCAATTCACTTTTCCGTTTATTTCAACTTGTCCCAGAGCCAGCAGACGATGGGTGAAAATCACTAAGATGACATTTGTGAAACGTATTGAAGACTCCAAAACCGATACCTCAAAATACCTTCAAAGTAAGAATTATAACTATTCTTTCTTTCTTTCTTTAGTTCGGCTATCTCCTACGGAGGATGAACCGGCTTCATGAACATCTCGAATGTTTGTAAGAGAGTTTTTGAAGTTTCATGGGAATTGGGTACGAGTGATGTCCCCAGCATCGCTCGGTATAAGTATAACTATTGCTGGACTGCGATACCTGTTTCAGTATTTCTAACAACTGGTTGTAGGAAAACACTTCACTGTCGCATCTGCGTACTGAACAAAATTTGCCTTGTCCTGTGCGAATTATATTTTCATGTAAAGTCTGCGAAGCTTAGCAATAGCTGTTTTTTGAAACAACCGGTAATAACTGGTACTCATATGGTTGTCACATGCATTGTAAAAACAATTTTTAAAGTCAAGCGCTATAATGGCTTCGTTCTGCGTTAGTAGGATAATGAGCCACATCTTTTCAAAAGCTTCACCAGAGTTTTTCACCAATTTTTATAGGAGATGAAAGTACGTTGTCCATGTGTGAGCCAACATTTCGGCGTTTTCAATTCAGGAAGTCCCTTTTGGACGACATATTTTTAATTCAGATTGGTTTTAGTGAAACAGCAATGATGTACTTTATGATACTGAACAGTGAAATTTTAAGATGGCGAAACATCTTGCGTTCTAGGCATTTTAATCTGCAAAGGGCTGCTGAAGGCTGTCTCGATATTCTGTCTTATGCTCATCAAGTCCCCACTGACTCATCCAACCTGTGTATATAAGGACCTATATAGCTATCTGACTGACTGGTTTCAACATAGAACTTTGCACCACTGTGCAGCAGTTAAGGAGTCACACTCCATGTAGCACACAAAGCAAGAGAAGAAAGTAAAATGGAATGCAAAATAGAGGCGGTAAACAGAGATATGAGACAAAAAGAACAGTAATAACGAAGAACAGTATAGTTTCATTGGGCATTATAAGTCACAAAGAGTGAATGCATCATCTGCGCTATTCATTGAGAACGATTTTGAGCCATATTACCGATTGTCTCCAACCATTGGTTCTTACCATCTCGAGGACCCAACCAAGAAGTCTACACCTCCCTACGTGACTGGCTGGCTTAAACTAAGTGTTGTGGATTTCATTGACTGATTCATTATGGATAAGATTTTATTTTGATGAATCACACAGTGTTATACAGTAATAGCAGTTAATATTACTGCATAACACTGTGTGATTTATCAAAATAAAATCTTATCCATAGTGGAGTTATACTCTACCACAGTGCCCAAGTTTTATACTTATATCAATAATTCATTGACTGATGCCATGTTTTCGTTTGACCACCACCAGCTCTTTTCCAACCTGATCCATCCTATGTCAGCTAACATCTCCCGTCGAGGAAAGCGATGGCTAGACATACGTAACACACGCCCCAGCAATCTCAATCGATGTACCTTCACAACCTCGTTGGTTCATTTCCCCTCCTTACCTAGCACTCGACCGATGCCCAGCCTCGATATTCCTCATCCTATTATACCACCTAACATGGGAATTGGACACAGACACTTATGATCAAAGACAGCTAGCCTTTCCATATCTTCCACTTTCAATGGCCTTGGAGCCAACTGCTGAGCAGTGTACACGTCTTGTGGTCGACAGCCGGATATGACGTCTGCGCCAGGAGTGGGTAAGTTGGCAGACAAATACCAAACGAGCCATCTGTCTCCGTGATGCGATGTCGTCAGTGATCAACGCGCTGAGAATAGGTGAAGCAACTTCCGAGAAAAATGAAGTGGTCAACACACTCTTACCACTTGAATCCTGCCTATCTTTAAGTTAGGAGTTATTGTAGTGCAGTCCTTCAGCATCATCTTACATTTTACAGTAGGAGCGAATCTCATACCAAACACTGGAGAAGATAGCTGCCTGTCAAGGTGTTCAGAGGCCCCTACATTTTGCCAGCGTCTCACCTCAGGTATGATGATTATATCATCTGCATATTCTAAGTCGATGAGATTATTCCCTGGTGGTAACAAGTCAATCCCTGAGTCTCTGAAGTGAGTTAGGGTTAAGTCTATTGGTACACCTATTGTGAAATTATTCAGAAATGGGGACACTGGGAATCCTTGACGGAAACCACTGGTTGTCATCACAGTTGTCAACTCTCCGTAGGCTCTCACCTGGCTGCATGAGTTAAAGAAGAGTGCCTTGATCAGTGCGATATGTTTTCTCGAAATTCCCATAGTACATATCGGTCGACGGAATCGAATGGCGCCTTTAGGTCAAGAAATATAACGATTGTTGGACGCCGGTAAGTATGTCTATGTCCCAGAATCTGTTTAAGGGCGAATATATGTTCGATACACCTCCTTCCTGGTCTAAAGCCTGCCTGGTTCTCTCGTGTTTGTTTCTCCCTGAGCACCGCTTTGTCTACACATCATTATTGAGCCTAGAACTTTAGATACCATATTAGTCAAGGTAATCCCCTTGTGATTATCACAGGAAGACTTGTCTCCCTTTTTGTGTATCGGGATAATCAATGACTTTACACCAGCCCGACTGGACTTCTTATGATTCCCAGACGCTGCCTAGTACCTCAGTTAATGCAGACAGTAAACTGTCTCCACCGCACTTAAATACCTTTGGAGTAATTTAATCAGGTCCTGCTGCTTTGCCTTGTTTCAGACTAGTGACAGAGAGATAGCATTGGATATCTGTCAAGGAAACTCGGTTGATCTCACTCAGTTTTACAGAAGTTATATTTAATTATATACTAGCCTAAGTAAGCCGATAGATATAATACTTACTTAAGTTTTCTTGATTGAAAGCGTCCATGAGACCTTATCACAGTTCATAGTTCATGCAGAGAACTGCCGTGAGTCTTTATAATTTTGCAAAGCAAACATGTTTACACAGCCTAAAGCTGTAACTTGTGGTTCATATCATTTTTAATAATAATAATATTCTAAAAACAGTACTTATAATACAAAATGGATTTTTCAGCATTAGTCACAATATTGCATCTGATTTACTTTAAATAAAATTAAAAATTAAAACAAAATTAGCCAGAGGAGTTTGTTCATGTTTACGATATAAAGTCAAAAATATTCGAAGCACGAAGTGAGAATATTAAATATATTAATATTTATTATTATAGTAATAACTATAATTATAATAACAGTGTTTATGTTTCAAACAGTATTGTCCATTCAGTTTGGAAATTTTAGCATGCTATAGATTATTGAATCTAATGTTCTGTTGATATAGTATAGTGAGGGGAAATGCAAAATTAACACTTATAACTCAGCTTAAGTTATGTTAAATTATGAAGAAAATAAAATTTAAGAAGTACAATAG